TCTGACCCTCTTCCCTCTCGTGCTTTCTATCTCTCATTCTCTCTCTCTCTCAAATAAATAAATAAAATCTTTAAAAAAAAAAAAAAAAGAAGAAGCTCTGAAAGATAGACAGGTGATGGTGACAGTGTGTCCCTGACAATGAATTTGGAAGATGTCTCCACTGACTCACCATCCATTTGGCTATTGATCAAGCAATAGCATTTACAAAACCAATGCTTTTATTTTTTTTCTCTTTGTCTTACTGCCGTAAGTGAGAACTAAGAGTCAGTGAGTGTTTTTTAAAATGAGGCACTGAAAGGACTAGCTAGAACTGGAACTCAGCTCTTCTGACCATGAAATCACACTGCTCTTTTAAAATACAGTGCAGGCTTCTAGGTGAAGTGGTCTACACCGAGTACGTGAGGGCCGAATACCTCTCTCTGGTTCAGCACAAATCACAAGAAAAACTGTAAGTCATAAGGAAACTTCTGAATGACATGCTCTGTAGCATAAGCATATCTATCCCAAAATACATTTTTTCATGTAAATAAACATTACATTCTCTGCACAGTTTTTGCCAAGAGTTAAAATCCAGATGTAATGTTTTAAATTACAGAAAGACAAAAACACTTAGAGCTACTGTATCTTAATTTCTCACACTAGCAATTAAGAAATTCTGCCCTAAAGTATGAATGTTTCTCTGCAATTCTCTACAAATCACCATTAATAAGATAATAGAGCAGAAAAATTAGTAGGGAGTTCATTTGATTTTCTTTCCCCCTGAAGGCTGGCTTTAGTGGGAAAATTTATCTACATTTTAATTCTAACGCATCGTGAATGATAAATGAACTCTGCTGCATAAAGGACATGACATTGCTAGGCTTAGATTCCTATTTTCTTTCATCAAAATATTCTACCTAGCAAAGTTCCTAGCTCAGTGCTTGTCTCCCTAAAAGGAATATATAGATTAATGAAACCCAAGACCCTAAAGACCCCCAGTTCAGGACATGAGTCAAAAGGGGCAAAAAGAAATTGTCTCAGATGGTGTGCGGCCACCCAGAAACCTGCTTTACTGCTTTGGTTTCTCTCAGGTATGTCTGCTCTGGCTTGTTTTAAACAGGAAGAGCAACAGGAAACCTATTTTATGTTGCTTTCATCACGGGATTCAATGGCTGTGGGACCAGAGACAGGGAAAAGATATTTGCCCTGAAGCCGCAGCTGAACACGAGAGGAAAACATATTACCCTTCATTGCTTCCCCAAGATCTGTCTGCACTCTCTTCTGTATTATTTGAAGAATAGGCTCCTTATTCAGACAACCTCCTGTATGATCCCGCATAGCAATGGCTATAACCCTGATGCTTGACAAATGCTGAATTGATATTGCTAAGGGGAGTGCTCGAGTCAGAGGAAAAAATACATGCATTCTTCCACAGTTGCCACAAGAAAAGTCAATTTATTGTCACTGGTTATTTTTTGAACTTGAGGAACATGGTGGCTAAATCCCTCATTTTATGTTAGAGATGAATGCATCGGCTAAGAGCAGGGCAATGTAGGAAACATCAAACATACAGGAAAAAAATTATATGAAAAGAGTTGACCCTCAGAGTTCAAGTGTTAGAAAGTGTGAAACGTTCTAGGAAAAATGTTTACAGTTCAGTTTTTGATTATTAAAGACAGGCATTTTCCACGTAAACTGATATTAAATAAAACAGTAAGCATCATTAGCGTTAGGGGTAAAATTCTATTTTGGATAATAGAGTGATTACTAGCACTCACTGATATTAAAAAACAGTGGAAAGAAATCTGTAATCATCTATGTTTTCTAGAACATAAACAATCATAATGGTAAAAATACTTATTCTAAACCAGTCAACAAAGATAGAGGACTCTCATTTTTGATGTGAGTGATAACCACATCAGAGAAAAAAAACATTATAAGGCATACAGAGTAAAATTTTGCATCTCTCTGTTGTGATTGTTGAAAAGAACTTCTCACTAGAGTACACGATGATGAGAATGTTACTGATACAAAAATGAAGACCTATAGAGAAATACAGTACAATATTAGAATGTTCTAGAAAGGCTGCTCCGGTAGGAAAAACAGTGACAACAAAAAGCAACAACAAAAAACTACATTCTATTTTGGATCTTAATATTTTGTTTGCATGTATTTTTATAATTTCTACCTAGCAACATCCTTTTATTGTTCTCTTTGTAGGGGGACATTTGACAAAGGCAACTTGTATTACATTGTTAAATTTGAACTTTAGACGGTAAAATCTAAACATCATATTAGTAAGGCCAACCAATATAATGAAAATATAGCATTATGATTATTCTTTGCCTCAGAGGTCACAAAGGAAAGAAGATGGGTTCTGGGTGTGGAGTAATTTCTTGTTATTTTCAAAGAGCTGTGATAGAAAATTCCCATATTTCTTCAAACAAAAGAAATGCAAAAGTAAAAAATTATAAACTAGAACACAAAACATCATGGTTGTACGTTGTATTTTTTTTTTAAGATTTTATTTACAGAGCAAGAGAGCACAAGCAGGGGGAGGGGCGGAGGGAGAGGGAGAAGCAGGCTCCCCGCTAAGCAGGGAGCCTGATGCGGGGCTCGATCCCAGGACCCCGGGATCATGACCTGAGCCGAAGGCAGATGCTTAACTGACTGAGCCACCCAGGCGCCCCTGTACGTCATATTGTTATCAATAACGGGTACAGTGCACAGATCATGGCAGTGCTAAGATATTCGGAGCATTCTGGTAGCAGGAAAAGCAACACAGAAGCTTTCAGTAAAGTTTCCTAGTAGGTATCATCATCAGCTTAGCATCACTGATTCTGTCAGGAAATCAAATTATTACTCTACACTGAAGTTAAAGCAAACACCATATTTCAGACCTAAGTTATAAGAAAAATGGTAAATACATAAGAGGTTTGCTATAAAAGTCTCTTTTGCTAACCCTTTCCATACTGAATAAGTTTTTAATAGAAAGACTTCCAAGTACTGCTCCTTAGTCATGAACAATCAGGCTAAAAACAAAAAAAGAAGCCGTCACTATTAATGTATTAATGTAAAGGGGAAAATAAGATCTTTAAAAAACATGACAGATACTTTGTCTTATAAATGCCTCGTAATTTCTCAGTTATGAATGAATTATGTATCAGTGATTTTAGACCTGTGGCCTACTATTTAATGCTTTGACTGGCAGCCTCATGACTGAGTATCCCACTGAGTTGAGATAATTAATTCAACGTCTGAAAGTGTTCAGGTTTACAGCTGCAGAGTAGCTTGGATATCTGAGTTGGTTAGTATAATCTTACATTACAAAATAGTACCTAAAGAAAAACTATTATTAACCCCATGGCTGGCCCATTGTGCACATGTGTGTATATGTGGGGGGAGGTTATCAGAGGTAAGATAAGCATTTTAACATTCATTCTAAATCAACCCCCATGGTAGTCCAGCAAAGTAAACATCAGCAAAGGCAATTTTGCAATTTTTTTTATTGATCGACAGTACGAGAAGTTTTCTGAAATGTTACAATTACCAATTCAGGTCTTCAGAAAGACGGAGATATCGGCATCTACCAAGATACAAAGTGAAGCAGAGATCACAAGATAAAACTCAGGCAAAATGAAGCATGTATGAGTTTATAGATAATGGCTTTATATTATCTTTGACTCAATTCTTAACTTTATATTATTACTACATACTTATTACAGTATTTCTAAACACAATTAAAAAAAAACATAGTAACAAACTTGGTGCTTTGTATTTTAAACCAAGATATACTTAGAACAAATAAAGTCACCAAATATTCATCTTAAAAAAATACTGTATACATTCAACAGAAATAATCACACAGGACACACGATTCAAATTTGAACTTTAAGGATCAAATATTGGCCTAGAGAGTGTAGTTGTTTAAAGGCATTACACAGAAATACTTCATTTGAGAATCCTAGCTGCTGAGATGCCTGGAAAATAGAGTCTAGGATCTTTGAAATTTCAAAAATATACCCCCCTCTACTTAAAGTCTGACATTCATTTGCACAAGCCAATATTAAATTTCAGACTCTGATGTTTCGTCTAGACAGCCGTGTTTTGCAAGCTCACACATTATGAACTCTGTGACAATGAGAACCGGAAAACAAAGCACACTTCTTCCGGTGAAGCTGAAACTCCGTCTCTTCAGTTGGGCATATCCACGTTCTGAAGGATGAGGCCCACTCGGCTTGGAATGTACACCTAAGTCAACACAATCATGTCAGTGCAATTGAAAGAAATACTGAACACGATGACCTTATGTCAAAAGGACATGATGCCCTCTCACATTTGCTTCAAGTTGCGGTTATCTTTACGCTTCAGCAGGCTCCCGGCAGACATTTCTACAGTTCAGCAGTCCTGGCACCTACGTGAGACTCCTTTGAAGCAAGCACCACTAGAGGGCGCCATATACTTTACAAAACCCAGCGATCCGCAGCCACGAGGACTGTAAAGGACACTCGCGGCTGTCGAGGCACCATCCGGTGGTACAGGAAGGCTGCCCTAAGGTAACAATGTTGTTCTATTCAGGTGAACAACAGTAATATACCGAACATTGCTCTACACCAAGACTCTTATTTAGTCATCCTGTTTTGTCTTCTGTCATTTTAAGAACTAAACCTGAAAGGTGATATATGGGATCCTAAGGGTATTTAGGTCCCTCCCAGTCAAAAAGCTTGCCCCTGCATTTAAAATACAATACGCATCCTCTCCACGCCCTGCAGGGTCCTGACTGCGCTCCTTCCCGCGAGGGACTCCATCTCCCATCTCAGCTCAGTGTGGCACAGGTCTCTTCTCCCCTCACACCAGGCTCTGCCTATAGGGGGCCCTTTCTTCCCTCCTCTGGGTCTGGGCTCAGAATACTCTACCTTGCTAGTTCCTTATTTCTTGCATTTTAAAAAGTTGCAGCTCCACAGAGGGTTGTCCCTTGACAACGCTAGGTAGGATAGCTTCTCCACTTTTTCTATGACAGCTCCATTTTTGTTTGTTTCCTCCTCCCCCTCCCCCTCCTCCTTCTTCGTCTTCTTCCTCTTCCTCCTCTTCTTCTTCTTCTTTTTTTAAATCTGGGCAACCTTGGCTGTGTTGCTTTGCCTCTCTGGGTCCCAGATTTCCCTTCTGTATGTTGAGGCACCAAACAATGGGAATCGCAGGTAACAGTTACTAAGTGCTCAGTATGCGCCCTCTGTCCGTCTCCCTGTCTTTTAAGTACTAGTTCGTTCAACCCTCACGACCACCCTGTGAGGCCGTACTGCTATCACCTCCATTTTTCAGATGAGGGAATGGAGGCACGAAGCAACTAAATAATTTTCCCAACCTCACACACTTTGTAAATGGCAGAGATAGGAGTCGAATCCAAGTTCTCTGGTTAAAGGGCATTTTTATTTCTTTCTGAACATCTAACACAATTTGTGATTTTTTTCAAGTTTATGATCTGTCCTCCCCACCAGACGATGAACTTTAAAAGGGCAGAAGCTCTATGTCTTCATATTTCTAACTCTTCATAGGTGCCAGTGGACAAAGTAGGTACCAATGATGACTACATAAAATAATGAACAATGAATAAAAGAATAAATAAAAGTGGGCCCAATATGTGCATATATTGTAAGATATTCTTTAATACACTTATATGTGAAATATTTTTTATAAAATCGAGAAGTGATCTGAACTGCTTGATGTTTATCTACGTGCTATTTTACATTTAACATATTTACTGTTAACAAACCGTAAAAATAATATTAGACTGCTGTCATCATTGTGACAGCATCTCTCCATTTCTGACACTGCAAATATTTTATTATTTCAGTCATTTTATCTTTAAGTGAAAGTCTGACTGACAGGTTAAAAAAAGAAAAAAAAAGCTTTTATAGCATAGGACCAGAATGAAAGATGCAAAGCAGGCAGGGCCTAAGGAAAAAAAAAAAATGAACAGAACAGCTGATTTTCACTGAATGAGACTACTGTATGTCCAATACATCTCAACTCTTCAAATGAACACAACGTTTTCCCTTAAGGTTTTTGTGATAAAGAACTCTCACAACTCTAAGAAAAAAATCAGGTACACTAATATAGTTGGTTAGTTTTGAACAATAAAGATTAAAGTGGTTGTAAAATGATGGCATTTTAAAAAGAAATTTATATTATGAATGTAGTAACTAGAGTTTTTCTAATCTTCAATTAACAGTGATTTTAGAAAATGATCATCATCATCTGAGAAAAATTTCACAAATGCTAATAGTCACTGGGTAGCTCAATGTCTCACAGTTTGATTTGCTTCCAGTACTTCCAAAAGATAAATATTATGTCCTTGCAGTCATTAAGTATGGGAAACATTTTATGTCAATGCCATAATCTGTTTCCCTCTATTTTTCCTATAATTTACAGGTTCAACCAATTCTCTCTCCAACTCTTATCAAAACAGGCAGGAGTGAGAGACAGTGTTCTGCCCTTTCAAAGGAGTTTGCCAGGTACTTTATTCTACGTGTGTAGTTTGGGGAATCATAAACTAGGTATAACTAATCAGTGGGACAGCAGATTATAATAGAACGATTCTGAACTGTTCTAAGCATTTTTTTTAAACATTTTATTTATTTATTTGACAGACAGAGACACAGTGAGAGAGGGAACACAAGCAGGGGGAGTGGGAGAGGGAGAAGCAGTCTTCCTGCAGGGCAGGGAGACCGATGCAGGGCTTGATCCCAGGACCCTGGGACCATGACCCGAGCTGAAGGCAGACGCTTAATGACTGAGCCACCCAGGTGCCCCATGTTCTAAGCATTTTAAAACTGAAGACCAATCTAAATTTTTCAAGTAGCACCAAAGACTAGACAAAAGAATTTCAGTTCCCTTTACATTAAAAACATTCCTTTGATTTTAGGTATGGTCTTATATGCATATAAAAGGATTCTGAGAAGTTCAAGGCTCTGCAGACAGATGCAATGAAACAAACAAGTCAGACCTAAACAAATAAGGACAGGTCTCTGCTCAGTGTGGCACAGTGATCGATCAGGACAGGTCACATCAATCTCCTATTTGAATCCTACAGAGTTTTGGCATCTACTCTGTTTGATTCATAACCTCATAACTAATTTCATTACTAAATACAAATGAAAACTATAAGCATATAATTTAGAAACAATCCTCCTTTCTGTGATCTTTTGGTATTTTAGCCACCCCAAATGTAAGAGTAAAACAAAAGGGATGACAAGAAGTTCAAGGCTTGCAATATATGCATTGAGTTTCCTATTTTGGCATTTAATGGTTAAAAAAATGCTCCAAGAACTCTTACTAAATGATGCTGGTCATTTTATGTAAGGAGCTTTATGATGCCAATTCCAGTCACACTTAGAGACCTCTTAATACTATCTGCCCAAAAAACCTTTGGTTGATAATTGTATAGTATCATTAATGGGAATATTGTGTAATTATATTTTTCATTGCAGTGTTAATTACTAGAATGTGTTTCTGTTGCTCTAGAGCCTTTGCAGTATAGGCAACATGAAAGAATTCCCCCAAGCAAGTGATTTTTCTTAACTATGGCTATTTATGGAATTTTGAGTTTTCTTCTTTATTAGGGTTCTGAGTATGTAAATCAATTTTCTTAGTGGTTAGGAAATGACTACCAATTATACTAAAGGATTTAAGATAATCAGAACTAATCCTTATGATGAGACAATTACAGACATGAACAGTTTGGGGGCTTTATAATTTAGTGCTAAGTATTGGCTCTGTAACACTCATTTTGTAATTTTAATTCTAAAAATAGTTTTGATTCATACAGCAAGTGAAAAGAAATATGAACATAATTTAAGTAGGTTTAAACATGAAAATGTTTAAGCATATTTAAATATAAACAATTTGTATTTAAGTACATGTATAGAAAAACTGTTTAGTATGCACATCACAGATAATATATGCTGATCAACATACATACCACGCCCATGTGTTAGCCATTAAGCCCTAAAGATTTTGTGGTTAGGATCACATTAAGAACATATGAGACAATGTAATGTATGGCCATGAATTTCATTTCTTCTAGCTATATTTATAGTCAACACTTCAGAAGGAATCCGAATGCCACAGTATAACCCAATTCACTTATTAAGAGAGGCAAAATGCATGCTAATCTACCCAGTTATTTTGACTACCTTAATGACTTAATCACTATGCTGAACACTAACATGGCTAAAAACAAAACAAAAACAAAAAACCCCACAACAACAAAAATACCAAAACAGATCACACAATAATCTACTATATTATGACATCCAGGCAAAGTATTATGTTAATCTAGGATCATAATTGAGTTGCAAAAATTAATTATACAATTTTTGAAAACAGGGTGTCAAAAATTTGAAAACAAAATTTTAAAATGACTTTTAAGTGAAAAATACTTTAATTTTTAAATTTTCTTAGAAATTGCTAAATTTAGCAACAGCACATAATTGAAGGGTGATAACATCATTTGATGAAAAGGGCATTAGACCTTTAATAGTCTACATACACACATTTGTCATAAAAGAATTACAAATTATTTTGAAAAATAAGTTTGATATATAAAATAATTTCAATTTTCACATACGTGCTTTAGTTCATAAAATATTTTCTGAGAAAAAATAAATCTTATTCTAATTCATTATTTTGTGTTAGGCTAAGAGAAAAGTGATGCTAATAAATATTTCTAAATAGAAATCTATATTATCTAATTTAGAAATATTAAAAAAGAATAAGGTTTAAGAATTGTTTGATTTTTTTCTTATCTGAAAAACCTAAACATGTTTATGATTTGGGATAGAGAAGAAGACATTTCCCAATCGCTAAATTTTATTTCTAATACAACTGAGGGACAATAAAGACAATAATACATCTATGCTGAATTCCCTATTTAAACCAAAAGTCTGCTTTTGAATTCCCAAATTTAGAATAAGAATAAACAGACCTACTCCCCCCCCTTTTTTAAAGATTATTTATTTATTTATCTGATAGAGAGACACAGCGAGAGAGGGAACACAAGCAGGGGGAGTGGGAGAGGGAGAAGCAGGCTTCCCGCCTAGCAGGGAGCCGGATGTGGGGCTAAAGAGATCTACTTCTTAATGATAAGGAGCCTAACTGTCAAAGTAATAAATGCTAAAATTATTGCCTTATCCATATTTCACCCTTGAGACTACTTGAGTTACTGTAAAGGAAACTAATTCTCATTTTAGGTTCAATAATCTGTTCTTCCATTTGTGCCAGGGAATTTGAATTTATGAACCAGAGAAGGGAAAGGAAGCCTGCCTGCTTCCAGTGTCCCGACCCGACACGTAAGTAACATATAAGTTCATAGAAGCTCTTCTATCAGAAACCAAAATATAGAGGAGTGAGTGTGCTAAAATGGAGTTTCCAATAATTGCCAGTAAAGCATAATGGAGAAATTCTGCCCCGTCGCTTCTTGGCATTCGTGGGCTACTCTGACCTTAGCAAACGTGTTTCAACGGTAGCACACACGCGGTTCTCGTCCGGCTTCCCAGTTTCAACCGGTGGAGTACATGGTAAGAAGACGCAGGAATGGTACCTGCTGATGCCGCAGCTTGTATGGCTATTTTAATATTCCTTCATATTTTAAGATGCCTTCAAGCTCTGTTTGTTACTATCTTTGAAAACAGATTTGACACTTATTCAGCAGATCCTTTGGATTACTGAGCTTGCAAATTAAGCTTTAGTAAATACCGTGTACTTGTTACGACGGGCAGACATTTCACGGAGAAGGAAAGACGCCCTCTTTTCTCCCCTTTATTCCAGGCATGTGGGAAGCAAAAGTGATCTCTCGCTGGTGGCGGAATGAGATCTAGAGTGCCTACAGTCATGTTCAAGAAACCTGATTGGATCCCAGCACATATGACCTCCTTTAATAAAGAATCCCATTATAATGAGGCATTCTTTGAATAGGTTTGTTTTTTTAGTGTGATTTCCTCCCCCCTCTGGCTCTTCAAAGGATAACTCTGGCAAGAAGGAACATGTTTTATTGGATTTTCTGGTCTATTTGGGCTCCCTTATTCCTATATTAAAACCAGTGATTATTTCACCTGGAGCCTAAAGACATTCAAATGAGTGTTTCCTGAAGCACCTGAAGTTATTGAAACAAGATGCTGCTGCTGGGAAGACAGAGCTTAATCATTACCTTTCTGACCAAGCTGGATCAGAATTCTAATACAGGCAGTGGTGTTAAGCTATGTTCTATTTCTCATGTGCTTGCAGCACTGTATTCCTCTACCTGTTATCAACGCTTATGTGCTACTCTCCACTCCACCTGCTAATTTAGAACTGTGCATTCCTTATTTGCAAGATAAATTCAATTAGTACTTGCAAAATAATCTCCTGACTGTTGCTGCCGCTGTGAGTTGGCTTGTTCTAATTAGGATAGAATATTTTTACTCTTACAAAAATTGAAAGGATGGCAAGATATTTTCTGCCCATCCCCAAAGATTTTGAGCCCTTGCCTAAGATTATAATTTCCCCCAAATTGGGAGGAGGTCTTCTTAACCATGTGTCCTCAAAGCACCTAGTATCTGGATGTGCTTAAAATACCTAAAAAAGAACTTAACAGCCGTAACAATAATACCTTTAAAGTACATGGGAAATAGCGTTTTGCAGTTTCCAAAAAACTTATGTTAATGAGTTTATGCCTCAAGAATCTCTTGCTGTGGGGAGGATACTCTACTAATCCTCATTACACAGATGAGGGAAAATGCAGTGCAGAAAGGGTGAGAACTCAAGTTCTCAGAACTAGTCAATGGCAGACAGGGGGCTCCATCCCAAGTTCGCTGCCATGACATTCTGTGGTCTTTTCAGTGTTCTACCATGCCTCTCTACCTAACAGAACCCTCACTGGACACATGAAGCTTTAGGAAGTTTGCTACACACACATTTAGCCTGACTCTTCCGAATTCCTTTGTCTGGTTTGACTGGTTCAACCCCAGCTTCCTCGCAGCAAGCTGCTGCTTCTCTATGGGTCCTCTTTGCAAGCTGAATGCTCTTCCTTAGTCCCTCAGGGGTCTCTAACTCTTCTGGTTATTGCAGAACTTTAAGAGAATTTTTTAAAAGATTTTATTTATTTATTTACTTACTTATTTTTTATTTAGCGAGAGAGTGCACACAATCACGGGGAGGAACAGAGAGAGAGAGGGAGAAAGAGAATCTTAAGGAGACTTCGTGCTGAGCTTGGAGCTGGACACAGGGCTCAATCTCAGGACCCTGAGACCATGACCTGAGCCAAAATCAAGAGTCAGACGCCTAACTGACTGAGCCACCCAGGTGTCCCCTAAGATAATTTCTAAAATTCATTTCAGAGGAGTGCCTGGGTGGCTCAGTTGGAAGAGTGCCTGACTCTTGATTTCAGCTCAGGTCATGATCTCAGGGTTGTGAGACTGAGCCCTGCTTCGGGCTCCCCGCTCAGCGTGGAGTTAGGTTCAGATTCTCTCTCCCCACCCCCCGCCCCTCCCCCCACTTGTGTGCTCTCTCTCAATCAATAAAATCTTAAAAAAATAAAATTCATTTAGAAACAATTTTTATCAATCTTTGCATGGCAAAGCTGAATGTTCTGACAAACTACAACAATTATTCTTTGTGGAAAAAGTCTGATAGCACCATGAAGCCCTCCCTCTTAAGAATGCATATGTATCTATACCTGTGTCTAAAGCTACATAAGCATCACCATCATTACCACCTATATGCACGCACATAGTGTTAGAATAACACTCACTTCTCCTGTGGCCATTACCCTTTCCTCAGACCCTTAACCCACAACTCAATCTTGCTCATTTCTGCTCTTTTCATTTATTTTATGCCACTGTCTTTGGCAAGCTGATTCTGTATCTAACATGGTGATTTACAAAGTGAGGTACTTGCACCACTTTAAGAGGTGGGAATTTAGTAGAAAAATGAGGGAACGAGGGGTCTCTCACAGATTCTCCCTTTTGACCTCCAAATCTGGAGAGTTTCTAAATCCTACATTTTTAAAAGAAGGCTTACTGTTTAAAGCAGTTTTTTTCACATGTGTTAACAACACAAAGTAAAAATTAGTTATATGGTTTAATGTTTTCCTCAGTGATATGAGGAAATCAGAAAATTTTGTAAGAATGAATTCAGTCTTTAATTGGCTGCAGAAAAGAAAAAAGATTTTTACAGACCTTCTTAAGGTGTTTTACATTAAACTTCATTAGACAGTCAATAATGTAGAAATCTGCTGGATGTAAAATATACAGAAAGCAAGAACAGAAGGGAAGTTGTTGCATAAAAAATAGCAAAAAATGCCTTCCCCTTATTTTTTGAGAAATAGTTTTTATTCCTATTAATATCCAAACTTCCCCAATTGTCCACCAAATAACCTTTACTATCAGTTTTCCAAAAGCAAATTCAGTCTAGCACCACACACACCGCTCTGAATGTTTTAGCTCACTTATTCTCTATCAACCCGTCCCTGTTTTGTTTTGTTTTGTTTTTACATGCCACTTACTTGTTGAAGAGTTGTTTCTTTGGACAAAAACATCACTTTAAAAATAAAGGGTTAAATGAAAATGCAATGAAAAGATCTTAAAGACCTTACTTACCAAAAGAGAATAGGGACGCTCATTATGTTTAAAATCTTCAGAAAAAAAATCGGTATTGTGGTCCAGTCTCTGATGTCCTCCATATTCTGCTGCATCTGTATCTAGCACAATTTTGAATGTACAGCTTTTAAGGAATCACAATGGTTCAGGAGAGAAATGAGACATTATAAAATATGTTCTGAGATAGCAATTTGAAAGTGAGTATTCTGAACATTGTTAAATCATGTTTAGTGTTTTTTTTTAAAGATTTTATTTTATTATTAGAGAGAGAATGAGATAGAGAGAGAGAACGAGAGGGAAGCGGGTCAGAGGGAGAAGTAGACTCCCCGCGGAGCAGGGAGCCCGATGCGGGACTCGATCCCGGGACTCCAGGATCATGACCCGAGCCGAAGGCAGTTGCTTAACCAACTGAGCCACCCAGGTGCCCAGGTTTAGTGTTATATACCCATTTCTTTTCTAATATTTCAGAGATACTCATGTTTGAAAGGGGTGTTAGAGACTCTGATTCACACACCCATGGGACCCTTGCTATCCTATCACAGCTTATCACATGATCATCCAAGCTGGGACTGACTGTCCTCATGAAGAGAGAATCTACTTTTCTCTTATTACAACCCATCCCATTCATTAGAAAGTCACCTCTACAGTGAATGGAAATTTGAGTTCTTGGGACTTTTCAACCCAGAAAAGCCATAAAGAACAAATTCAAAATTCAGTAATCTTTCAAATATTTAATAATAGTTATGCTACCTCCATGTGTCCTCTACATCTATTACTAAATACATACTAAATGTAATCCCAGGACCTTTAAGAATTTCTCATTTGATATGGCTTTTCACTCCTTCCCCATCTCCAACTTCATTCCAGTTAATCAAAGTGAGGAACACAGAAGTGAACCAAGTGTCCATGTGTGGTCTGAAGAGTGCAGAACTAAGCAGGTCTCCTCCTGCTATTAACATACAAGATCATGAAAACATACTATCCATCCACGTTACACAGAGATTCACGCTGCATTCACGTGGTCTGATACCATTTAACATCTGTTTTTTCAGGTGAGTTAGTAAGTATGTTTTATTACTGTATTTACAACAAAATAAAAGCTATGGCTATTGTGTTCAAATTTATTATGCTCTAAATGTCTAGACATGATACCTAATACAAAATTCCTTAAGTAAATGTACATGAGTACATATAGAAATCTTAACTTTCTTCTAGCCCAAGGAGGGATACAAAGAGATTTAAATGCTTTGTGTTTTCTTTCTCTGGTATATAAATCCTTGATTCAAAGTGTTTGTATATTTTCATTAAAAAGTATCACATTAAAAGTACACATGGTGACAAACAATGACCATCATTTTCATGCCTAGGGAATCTCTGTCTAGGTAAGAGATTCAGACAAACTCGCTAAAGGAACTTTTGCTGGGAGAGGTGACTCCATTTTAGTCAATCTAGGTCAGCCTGCTCTGACTCAAATTCAAACTGATAATCAGAATGTTAGTGTTTAACAAGAGAGAGACAGAGAGAGAAAGACTGATTGAGATTCAAAAGATGACTACTGGGCACAGGCAAATTCTAAAGTCACTCAATATAGCTGAAAATGACTTGAGCATTCGAAATCATTTAATGGCAAAACACAGATAGTGAAAATAAATAACTGGAGACACTGTAAATAAATGAAGCCTTGTGGAATGACAGGAACTATTAAAATTTAAGTTTAGCTTTTGTTCTTCATCCTAGTTCATTAAATACTTGTACAAATCTTCAAAAAGCAAAAATCTTTAAAAAAAAAATGGGGCGCCTGGGTGGCTCAGATGGTTAAGCATCTGCCTTTGGCTCAGGTCATGATCCCAAGTTCCTGGGATCAAGCCCCATGTCGGGCTCCCTAATCAGCAGGAAGTCTGCTTCTCCCTCTCCCTCTGCTTCTCCCCCTCCCCCTGCTTGTGCTCTCTTGCTCTCTGTCAAATAAATAAATAAATAAAATCTTAAAAAAAATCTTCAAAAAGCAAAAAGAACAAAACTGAGAAAAATAAGTACAATTTAGGGACTGATGTCCTAGAATACTTTAAAAACTTTTGAAATAGAGTATCAATTATTAAATTAGTAGTTAAGATCACAGATAATTTGTAGTAGTGTCTGAAGAAAGCAAGTATCTCTTTAAAAGCAGGGGTCCCCAACCTGTGGGTTGATATTCACTGGTGGCTGTTATTAAAAGGATCTCACCGAATGAGTAATTATGTTATTATAAGGGACTGGGAATCTATATTTGCATCAGGCATTGTCTAAAGCCTAAATTATGTTATTATACACATTTAGATACTGCATTTTAAATAATGTGCAGCTTTTTTTGATTAATAAAATGCAGATTCATTTAAAAAGTCACAAGATTTAGAGTAAGGTTTTGCTTATATATTTTTTCAATCAAGGATACTGAAAGAACAATTGTTATAAAAGAATCCATTTCTCTTTGACATTGAAAGGGATCATCATATTTAAATGCTTGGAATCTACTCAATTAATATATATAATTTGTAGCCATAAAGCAAAAGCTTACAAAAGCCATAATGAAAGTTTTAAAACGTCAGTTTGGAACTGTTTCTCTAATTTATAATTTAAAGAAAAAATTCTGCTGTGGCCACTTTTGGAATTACCCAGCCCTCTGTCTATATTACTCAGGGAATACAATAACTTCCTTTAGAAAAGCAACCCTTGAGCTCCAGAAATTACAATAATTTAAAACACTAGATTAAAAGTAATAATTGTGGAAGGGGGGCGGAGCAAGATGGCAGAGGAGTAGGAGAACTGGATTTCGTCTGGTCCCAGGAATTCAGCTGGATAGGGATCAAACCATTCTGAACACCTACGAACTCAACAGGAGATCGAAGAAGAGAATAGCACAACTCTCTGAACAGAAAAGCGACTACTTTTTGGAAGGGCTGTACGGAAAGCTTGCAGGGAAAAAACCTCCCAAGAGCAAACCCAAGCTGATTACTTAGCACGGACCCAGCAAGGGCGGGGCAATTCCGCCTCCAGCAAAGACATTTGGGAACCACAGAAACAGGCCCCTCCCCCAGAATATCAGCAAGAACAGCCAGCCAAGACCAAGTTTACCGATCAAGGAGAATGAGAGAACTCCAGCGCTAGGGGAATACTGAACAGAGAATTCATGGCTTTTTCCCCCATGATTCTTTCGTCTTTCAAAGTTAATTTTTTTTAACTGTCTTTTCTTTCTTTTTTTTTTTTGAATTTTTCTTTTCCCTTTTTCAACCAACATCTTATCAATCCTTTTTTTAAAAATATTTTTTATTTTTCATTTTTAGAGTCATATTCTATCCCTTCATAGTAGTTACCTTTATTTTTGGTATACATATATATAAGTTGTTCTCTCTTTAAAATTTTGAGATACACTTTCTTCTAATAGATCAAAATATACCCTAAATCTCTAGTGTATGACTTTGTTCTAGTCTCCTGCCTGA